TCTAACCTCACTATTACTTACCTGGTGATTCCAGAGGATGCGAGCATTATTTCTAAGAAATCTGTGATCAAAAACCAGTAACTTATGGGTATCCTCTACTCTTAATGGTCACGTTTGACAGCCGTAAAGTAGGAGAGAACGAACTGTTACTCAGTATACTCGTTCCTTAATTGATAGACAGATATTTCACCTTCACTATAGGTGACGTAAGTTGACGTAGCCCAAACGAAGTTTTTGAATCCATGCAGAGATCTTGTCCGACATCAACTCATTATGGCTGATCAGACTTCCAAGATAAATGAAGTTGTCGACGCGTTCGACTACATCACTCCCTATCCTTAGTTCAGATGTTGAAGGTGGACGGTCCTTGAGCAACAACTTGCATTTAGATGTAGAGAACCGCATTCCGAAAATCCTGGCATTGTTGCTCAGTGCTACAGAAATATTCTGTATTTTATCAGCGTCTTCACTATGTCATCTGTGTATTCTAAGTCAGTAAGTGGACCATCTGGTAGGAGTTCGATTTCCGAAAATTCATACGACAAGAACATTATTTCTAGCAGTATGTTTATGGTGAAATTGAATAAAAATGGAGTTAGTGGACAGCCTTGTCATACACCGCTTGAGGTTGCAAAATCAAATTACATTTCGCCATAAGCTCTGACTTGACTGGTAGTGTTTGGGTAAAGAGCCCTCACAAGATTTTTTTTCTTAGGTACGTCTTTCAATGACAGACAGTGCCACCAATCAGTCATTTAAAAAAAAAGATATTATTGTTGTTATTCGTTACATGTGTTGGTAAAAAGGGAAAATAATAAGTTTAATTTAGATATTAGGTTGATTTGTTTATGAACTTCTTCACAATATAGCATTATTTGTGATAGAGTGATGGCAAACACACGCAGTCTTCCGAAAATCCTATACTTGAATGAAACAGCTGTGCTTTTCAGTTTCTAATGATACTCAATATAATCACTTTTTGTACAAATACTTGAATATAATCAGTGTTAGCAATGCAATATTGTTTTTCATTTGGAAGCAACTCATTTCAGACTTATCAAATAGATGTAAGTAATGCTAATTATGAAGTAAACCTAACGCGTATTACTTCATTTGAAATCTGAAACATAAACGAAGCTTATGGAGCAGGGTTCGAACATGTAACCTGTTAACTGAATGTCGAATATTTTAATCATTAAAATCCCTATTCACAGTTTAAATAAAATCCTGTTCGAAGTTTAAAAAACGGTAGACAACTATATAGATGAAGTAAACTAAACAGACTTAAGTCAAAACCTCATAAGTAACTTATTTGGTTATCCGTATGAAGTATTTTATTACCTTTCTACTTATAAGGATATATGTACGTTAAAAAAACACTAACTGCATAATTTTGAACTGTTAGGATAAGTTTATTGCTGAATTTATTTCTCGAAGAAGGTTAGTTCAACTTGGATCGAAAATACTTCTTTTAGCAGAAATTGTACTAAAAGCCAATTCTATAGAAAAGAAATACAGTTATACAGCCGATAAGACAGTTTCTATTTATTTATTTAAGCACATAAATATTGGTACAAGGAAGCACCAGATATACATGCGCCATACAAATCTCATTTAATTTGTGTGAGGACTGTGATACTGCCCAGGTGCCCAAACTAAAGCAGGTGGTTTTTGACGGGGCCACACCCGGAGCCTTTGACCTGAAGATCTGATCCACAAGGCAGTGGAGCATCATAAGGAGATGCAGTCCCATGGTAGCCGGTGACTAACGACGGGTTCACACGCCATTTGTTCCCTCAGGATACTAGAGCCCATGTGCACCATTGGTTTGGAATCAGGTTTTTCCAACTCCCCTAGGTGGACTTTCCGTGTCCATCAACCCGGTTAAAGCGCCGGACATTCGCTTTCCATCTTCTCATTTTCGTAAACAACACCCCTGCCACTGTTAGAAGGCAGTGAGTAGGACTTATGTGGCAGAGGCTATATACGCGTGTCCATGTGAGAGCATTTGGAGAGGGAGAGCGGACTCACCCCACTCTCGGCCGTACCAGGGCATTCGGGGGCGCCGATAAGATAGACACTTTTGGATTACCTAAAGAAATGTTTTTTCTGTTTACAGAATGTAAATCTTTATTTATTGTCATCGTCATTTACTTTAACGTGATTTTGTTTTTATATTCCTGATTTTACTTCATATAGAGAATGGATTCGATAAGTTTAACTAAACATACCGTCCATTCACCCCAATTGGGTCGAATTCCTTCAGGTAGTTGTTTCAATATTGACAATAATAATTTTATAAATAATGATGGCGATGATGATGTCGTCATAACTAAGTGCCTACATGATATGTCATCAGTAATAAATCGTTTAAAATCTGTTTGGCCACCAAAAGGTCCTAACAAATCAGTACAATTCAACGAAGCAAGGAATATTTTAAACAATTTATCAAATTTCGTGTATACCACTTGATTGACTAACTGATTGGTTATTTTTTTACCCACATATATTTGTATTATTTCATTGTACAAAACCAATATCATATCAATAAAACCTTTTAAATTCAGTTATGTTTGTACTTCTTTGTTTTTCACTAAACAAATTTAATGAGAATATCCAATTTGTTGAGAAGTGGGTTTTAAATTGTAATTTTAAGTACGTCGTTAAATGTAGACCATTTGTTGATGAGCTGCTTGTGTACTCAAAGTTTGAGCCATAATTTATCGTATGTATATATGTGTAAGCGTTATTGATGTTGTTATCCAATATGATGTAACATGTTACAGAAAACTTAGGTTCTCACTAGATCATTTGTAGATAATTTCTTTGACCTGGTATTAGTTAGACGAACCAGAATCTGTATGGATACAATATTTTGCTTCAGAATACAGATACTTTATGCTGATAGGTATTCAAAGTTTTAAACTCGAAGTCCCAACTTCCAGGCGGTTTTTAATTTATAGTGTTAAATCTAATCCAACCTTTGTCTTGACTTGGCAAGCTTACAAGAACCTGGTCTAATAATTTCAAGCCTGAGAAAAGATTAGTACTCAGAACGTTTTGATAACTTTTTATAAACAAATACAAGTGAGCGTTCTTTTCGATAAATATTAATTTAAGCAAACAAGAGCTGGCTGATTTGTCTTTTCGATGAGAAGAAACAATTTATCATCTATCAAATACTATAGGTTACTCGTACGGGTTTCGTGTGTCACTGGTCCGGTCGGGAATCCAGGCGGTCACAAGTTATAAATTATTGAGATCAAATCAAGATTCCGGAAGTCCGATTTTCTTTTATACAACATAGATTACATTTCAATCCTAAACTAACTATAAGATAATATCATAAAACTTTTAATTAATCACTTCAAATTCATATTTTGCCCATTGAATTTTAGCCTGATTAAATGTCTTTGTCTCAATAAAAGGTATCATAACCCGAGACTTTATCCACATTGATTACTGTCAGATTTTTTAGAAATGTTTACTGAATAACATTTACATTTGAAATTTGTGGATTGATTGATGTAACTCGCATAATTTCACATGGTTTCATATACAATCTTCAGTTTGTTATGATATATCTAATGTAGTATTAGAATTCACTTGGTATTGTTTGTTTGAATCTTCCCATTGATTTTTAGGACTGTAATTGATCAGTCTCTTATTGGCATATGTGCATACTGTGTGTATTGCCTCGATATAGCCTTAATTCACAAACATTATAAACAAAGATCGATAACGCGATGGCATTTGAAACGAAGGGTACTGTGTTCGATTCCCAGAGTGAACATCAATTCTGAGATGCAGGTACATCTAGCCGACGAGTCCCAAATAGGACAAAACACGCGTCCTGGATTCTACTGCTAGCCACTATCCATCTTTGCTTATAATGTATTATTAGTTAAATTAGTAAAACTTTTATTATTCACCTATTATTTTTATTCAAATAATTATTGTTAAACATTTTTAAGATGCCTTAAAATTAAACTTATTAACAACCTAGAACTTTCTCATATTTTATTGAAGGTATAAATTCACATCGTAGTGAAATTCAACTGGAAAGGATCTTATACAATTATTCGAATTATAGTTTTCTGTTATAACACTCGATTATATTCAATAATATTAGATAATATTAGATTATATGCTCCCAAATGCCCTGGTACGGCCGAGAGTGGGGTGAGTCCGCTCTCCCTCTCCAAATGCTCTCACATGGACACGCGTATATAGCCTCTGCCACATAAGTCCTACTCACTGCCTTCTAACAGTGGCAGGGGTGTTGTTTACGAAAATGAGAAGATGGAAAGCGAATGTCCGGCGCTTTAACCGGGTTGATGGACACGGAAAGTCCACCTAGGGGAGTTGGAAAAACCTGATTCCAAACCAATGGTGCACATGGGCTCTAGTATCCTGAGGGAACAAATGGCGTGTGAACCCGTCGTTAGTCACCGGCTACCATGGGACTGCATCTCCTTATGATGCTCCACTGCCTTGTGGATCAGATCTTCAGGTCAAAGGCTCCGGGTGTGGCCCCGTCAAAAACCACCTGCTTTAGTTTGGGCACCTGGGCAGTATCACAGTCCTCACACAAATTAAATGAGATTTGTATGGCGCATGTATATCTGGTGCTTCCTTGTACCAATATTTGTGTTTAAATAAATAATAAATAAATTAGACTGTATATGATCTTTTCATTTTCTGAGTGAACTTTCTTACTCATAAATTAAAAATAATTCACAATTGTTTTATTATATGTGATGAAGTGATTAGATTGTATTCGTTAACTAATAGATACTCTTCAGAATTTAGAAATATGATTTATCACAAAGTAATCTGTTCAATTTTTATAGAAGATCCTCCTTATCAGCTGTGTAATATAAGTATCAATTAACAGCAGATTAATAAATATAAATGCTTATTGTAAATTTCCTTGATAGTTTCTAACTGGTTCAACTTACAGAATGCCATCTAACCAACCTTTGCTTATTTTTTCTGTAGTTAGCCGGTGTTTACACATAAAACCTAGAAAAATATACTATTTACTAAAATGTATCTTTACTAATTATTAGCAGGTAAGTAATGTCATAAAATTATATTTCCCATTATTTTCGAAAAATCTATTTAGATATTATTCTTTACATGCAATGCGTGCTGTAGTGCAACGAGTTAAACAAGCATCTGTTAGTGGTATGTTGTTCATTTCTTTCTTGTGTTAAGATTTCGTATGATGTACGATGTGATAATTTATCTTCCTTAAATTATCGTGTTTTATTGTTAAATTATTTATTGTTTTTGTATGTTTAATTGATAATTTGCTTTGATATTCTGTAGAGATTTTGTATATTTTTGTTATAACTTGTGGCCGAGTGGATGCCCTGTTGAATGTATGACGTGATAATACCGCCGATCAGAGAGCATCAGTTTATCTATCGGACCAATGACACACGGGAACTGTGCGAGCAGTCTAGAGTACTTGTCGGTCTTGCTTTCTGCCTAGCCCGGCCAGTTGAGTCCAGAACAGCCCCTGTGGTATGAATCATTATATTTCAAACATACTGGGTTTTTATACCAATCAAATTAACCACATCGTACCATAAAGTAAGAAACAACATTTGTACAAAATTCGGCCAAGTGTGTCTGTGAATTGGGGAGATAGTGAATAATAGACATGGCATAATTCAGGAATGGTAAATCATATAATAATAGTTCATAGTTCATAATAAAGCTTATAATAAGGGGGACATGAATATGAATAGTTTAGTTATTTAGCGGTTATACGATAGAAAAGATATGCAATGTATTGGTTCATAAATAGATCTCAAAGTTACCATTCATTATCCTTATCGGGGCATAACATTTTTGTAGATAGTTTACGTTATGAATAGAAATCGTACTTGGTAGTAGAGACATCCAAATGTGTAAAGAAAAAGGTATCTGATACTATTTTCTTTACAATAATTTTCAGTCAACTCTAATTCAGAACGAAAGCTTTTACAAGGTCATACAAATCTACACAAAACATTGAAACAAGTAATAATACCCACCTCGTGGTCAGTTGTTTACGGTTCTTAGATTGGTTCCTATCAAAGTCAACTGAATCACAAGTAACAATTTAACTCATTGGTGAGACTGGGCGATTGGGTGGTTGTGAAATGTCGCAAATTGAGTGAGGTCAGAAATGTCAACCATTGAATGTTGGCTCACTGACACAAAAGTTACATCCTAGGCGATACCTGAAAGTCCCGGATTCGATTCCTTATGGAATTGTGAGTACATACCTCTGAGAAATCACATGCCAGAACTTAACATCTGTTCAATACCTACTGATTCTTAACAGTTTACTAAATAACGTGATATAAACTATAAACTTCGAAAATCTCCACAAACTTCTTACGCTAGTAAAATAAAGTTTTTTGGTGATTGCTCACCAACCAATGTCTATTTTATGGAGAAAACTGTTTCTAAAGGTTAATAGGTTAGAAATACTAAATCAGTGCATTCTCTCCCGTTGTATTACTGACTAAATAAAATGTTAATAACTATTACATTTCTTTTTAACTTAGTAAATGATTCAATTGTCAGTCAAATTGGTCGTGGAATACTTGTTCTTATTGGCCTATCAAGACGAGATACAGAAAATGATATGGAGTATATGTATGATAACATTTGTTTTGTGTATTCTTTTTACTCTATGTATCCTCATCACTTTACTTTTAATTGAAGAAAATGTGTGAAACGTTTTGAGTAAATTATGTAACTATGTTGCTGACAATAAGTCAACTGACAAAGGAGTCAAAATATTCACCTTTATGATTTTAAGGATATTATTTTCTAAAGATAGTCACTGGATTGATACATTTTTCATAACAGATTTGTTCACCTTAGATTCTCTACAACATATCTTCATAGTTCGCCAATCAATCGATCGACAGCTTGTATTCATTCAAATAACCTCAAACACGGGTTTGATTGGGGAAAGACAAAATTCTGTTTCCAAGGGACTCTAAACCTTCCAGGTGATTTCTAGAAGTGTGGCATAATGTCCAATATTCAATCAGTTTACATATTATTGATCTGCTTTATCAATTCATACTGTAAAGGTCAACTATTTAGATGTATCAACTGAGAAAAAAACTTTCAGAATTTACTAGGTTATAGGAAGATAAAAAACTTTACATAAATAATCGGTCACGGGAAAAAGAAGTCAGAACAGACTGAGTAGTGCTTGTGGAATAACTTTAAAAGCTTACTTCTACTTGAAGGAGTCATTAATGATTGTCCATAATGACAATGAAGGCTATGGAATTCAGCTATCTAACTCAGAGTACACAATATCATGAAAAGTGTTTATTTAAGGTATACATATTCATCATTTCAATAAAATCGTACAAACTATATACAAATAGCAATAAAATAGAAAACATGGAAAGTAGAATAATTGTTTATTTACATACGTTTCCATGCTTCTCCAAATAAATACATAGGATACACGAACATCTATTACAATGATAACATTGTAATGAATTTAAATTTCAACCATTAGGTGTAAGATAATTAAATGCCCAAAGGATACAAATTCGTCCTCAACCTGCGCTCTTGACAAGCAAAAAATGTAACAGCATCTAAACATCATACACACTGAGGAAGTTTATCTTACCTTTATGTATCTGTTTCTCCATGTGTAATTGATTTTTTGACACATATTTAACTGATAGGTATCTTTATATTACTTGTAAGAACTTGAATCTGCCCGTTCTTGATGTTAAAACTACAGTTTATCTGTCCCTCTCTCTCTCCATGTTTATCTAAAAACTCAGAAATTTTCGTGTTCTAGGCTAATTTATATGAATTTAATTTGACCCGTGGTTTCGTAGCAAAAAGTTCGTTATCTTTTGCCTTGCCAATAACTTATGGTACGCTTTTTTAGAGAGTATAATAGAATTCCTTTCTGCCTTTCAATATTTATAGAGTTAGGAAAATACTGAACATTCGTTTATTCCCATCACTAGATGGAATAAGACGTTGGGATAAAAGTGTAAAAGATTTAAATCTGGAAATTCTTTGTGTTAGTCAGGTAAGGAATTTTGTCTTTCTAACTAATTCTTATAACATTTCCACATATTGATGCTCAGTTAAGTATTCAGCATAAGTATTCGATAGTTGTTTCAGTATACTCTGATTTTTGAAATCTGTTACGGTTTCTTAGTTCAAAGGATTGTGTTAGTGTATTTTGCACTAACATCCTCAATAAAGTCTGTACAGAGAACTCGAATTTGTTTTACTCGAAAAATTCAATGTTTCATATTTAATTTCATCAACTTTTTTTTGTTTAAATCGTGTTGAGAAAAAATCAAGCCTAGTATTCAGGTCTTGACTTTAAATTCTCTGTCTTCCATTCTCCTATGTTTGAATTAATTTCTAACTGCGCCTATTTTTTGAGCTAATATCGTGTATATAAAGATACTATCACAATAGAAAACCATCTTATATCTGTTCATTTTAGCCTCGTAAGCAGCTACTTCTCTGTTACATCTTACTATTGCACGTCAAATGAGCAGCATTAAATTCATTCATATAACAATCCAAAACCTGTTCATCATGATATCATAAAATTTTAATTTATAACAAACATTTCTCGAGACTTATTTACTTCATAGTACTGGATCCACGTTCATGGTCATTTGCTAATACTTCAGTCGATATACATAACCTACTCAAAAGGTTGATTAAGTAGTGTAAGCTGTTACGCTGAATTTCTGATCCTAATACAAATGAAATTTTTGAACTGATTATTGGAAATCGCTTAACTGATATATCTTGGTACTGTTATTCTAAGTACGTTTTTTATATGACAGTAGGCACAAAAATTGGCACGTGACTAGATAATTAGACAGATGTTTTGATACGATGTCATTTTGCAATAGTGAAAATTTTGAAATAATACCGATTGCAGTTAGTATGATTGAAGCCATTTTTCTGTATTTAATTTTTCAACTATATTTTTCATATATTCGGCTTTTAGTAACTTTATTGTTAAGATAGACCCGGAAACCGGTGATTGAAAGTTTTGTCTTGACTACCTCCAACTACTGAACATCTCAACATAATATAAGCGTTATGTCAAGTTACTTAGGTTAGTTATCACAGTGTAACTTGATCGATAAAATTCAATCACCACCAAATGACTGAACAAAAATAAAGTTGATCACTGTTTTGTAACCAACCTATCTTAAATATCCCTATCATACAGGTGATTAGTTGCAGCCCGAATAACTCATTGGTAGCATTTCGAGCTGTGAGGTTGGATAATATAGGTTTGAGTTCCACATGAAATGTCGTTTCCCTTGAAATTGAAGGTACGTTTTACTGAATTATGCTAATTAGTGCAAAATCTAGGTCTATAGTATCTTGTTAACCACCTTCAGTCACCAAAGATTATTAATAAGTGATTTATTTGTTCAAGAAATCATATTATTTGAGCACTTGAAAATCTAATCCACATCTTTGTATGTTCTATAGAAATATAATGTTATCTAATTTTATTGAAGTACTAGTCTTTTACACAGACATAGAGTTGGTGCAAAATTGATTCAGTTTTAATGCTCATATAATTTGATACTTTTACTATTAATTTCCACTCTGTGGTTTTCATTATTTTCTATTCACTCACACTTTCTATCAATAAATTTAGTTTTTAAAATACTTTCGAGAGTGAAGCTCTTTTAATAAGTTTTTATGTCTTTGGCATATACATTGGATTATTTTAAAGTCTTGTATCCGTTGTTAAAAGTGGATATATTAGTTTCATTTTTGATATTAATCATTGTTATTTTGACTGAATCCCATGTGTCTATATCAGTGATTATTTGTTTTGAATCAGGATCATAAACCGATCTATTTTAAACTACCATTGAAAATTTGTAAGCACTAGACGGCCATCTCATCCTAGCATGGGACTCCTTAGCAGTTCACATCCATGACGCCGCACGCGAAATCCAGACCAATGACTTTTGGCCTCGCGCTCGAACGCTTAATCCCTAAACAACGGAGCTGGCATCCAATGGTGTTAATTTCTAACTTCAACCAATCCAAAATATTGCCCGATCATCTTCCATTGTCTTCAGTGGGTAAAACTATCTCATACTCGACACAGTTGAACCCCACTGATCACGGATTTTCACTAGAACTCCGAGAATTACCTCTCGAAGTTAGTCACTAGTGAGCACATGATAATACTTACTTTCAAGGAAAAAATTGATCGTTTTAATCCTCTTGTACATAGTTCTGTGCAACTATTTTTAGTATCATAGTCTTGCATATATTAGATAATATTTATTGTTCAATTACCATTGTATATGTGTAGAATCGCTTCTTTTTATTATGGAATAGAGTTTTATGGTTTTATAGAAAATGTTTTGATTATTTAAATGAAAGGAAAGAGTACTGACGATATTGCGTTCATACGAAATTATAACTAAGTCTTAGTGATGATTTTAAATCAATGACAAGACCACTAGTCAGAAAAAAATAGATTTCACTTATCGTAAAATAACACACTTTCATACAAGTTATTAGTAGAAAATAAATGATTATATATTATAAACAACTAATCAATATTGACTATTTAGTTTTTTCAATCTTCAATGGATTAAATATCAACTGTTGGGGCTAAATTGTAGTTAGTCATATTGTAGTAAATAAGAACATGAGTGGGGACAATCAAATATATTTGAGCACAGAATTACAGGATATCTCAATAAAACCTGACAACCATACAGTAAACAGATAATTTGCAAACTATCAATCAATTGTCTCATTCTTGACTGTTCCTTCTGCAAATACCAGTTCATCCTCTTCGATTTTATTGTTCATGCATTTTTATACCAATTGCGTTCCGTCCCGATTCTTTACTTATCGATCTTCTACTGAAATGCATTCTATGCCCGACCATCGTTATATATTACTTATGTGGATATAAGTAACCTACCCACACCACAATATGAACTTCATAAACACTATTACTGGTAACCAATTTACATTGTCGAAAAATTCTCAAATTATACTTTTTATCCTTTCGTCTTTTAATAATAGAACTATTAATGAAAGTTTAGCATATGTTATGTATGAACTTGTTTTCTTTTTTGCTACTTATATACAATACTTAAATATTCGTTCCATTTATGCAAATATTTACATTCCTTAAAATCAATATTTAGTAAAAATATTATATAGTTGAAATCATGAATCAATTAAAGCTAGAACACCATGGAAAACTTGGAATCACTGGATGGCCGTTTCGTCCTATTTTGGGACTCCTCAGCAGTGCGCATTCACGATCCCTGAGTTCGAATCTCGCAAGGTGGGATCGCGGATTCATACTGCTGAGGAGTCCCACAATAGAACAAAACGGCCATCCAGTGCTTCCAGGTTTTCCATGGTGGTCTAGCTTCAATTGATTCATGATCTCAACTATATAAGATTACTAAAAAATCTCTACAAAACCATCTACTGATTTAGTTATAATAATAATAATTTTTTATCTTTTTTTCTACAGTTCACATTATATAGTGAATTAAAAGGCAATAAACTAGATTTTCATAATGCTATGGATCCAAAATTATCTAAAGATATTTACTCACAACTAATTAGTCGATTAAAGAAGAATTATAATGAAGAAAAAGTTAAAGGTAATTAAAGAAATGAGAATATAAAATATCTTTTCTATTTGTATGATTCATCCCTAGTAAATATTTATAATATACATCACTTACTTACATGCGCCTATTACTCACAGCGGAGCATAGGTTGCCGACCAGTATTCTCCAACCCACTTTGCCCTGGGCCTGCCTTTCTAGTTCTATTCAATTTCTGTTCATTCTTCTCATGTCTGTCTCCATTTCTCGGCGCAGTGTGTTCTTTGGTCTTCGTCTTCTCTTTTGACCTTCAGGTTTCCATGTGACGGCTTGTCTTGTGACGCAGTTGGGTGCTTTCCTCAATATGTGTCCTATCCACTTACAACTCTTCTTCCTGATTTGTTCCTCCACTGGAATCTGGTTTGTTGTCTCCCACAGTAAAATATTTCTGATTGTGTCTGGCCAACGGATCCGAAGTATCTTGCGTAGACAACTGTTGATAAACACCCGTATCTTCTGGATGATGGCTCTTGTAGTTCTCCACGTTTCTGCCACATACAGTAGAACTGTTTTGACATTTGTATTGAAAATTCTGATCTTAGTGTTGATTGATAATTGTTTTGAATTCCAGATGTTTTTCAGTTGTAAATATGCTTCTCTTGCTTTGTCGATCCACGTCTTCACATCTGTATCAGATCCACCGTGTTCACCGATGATGCTGCCTAGATATTTAAAGGTTTTCACATCCTTCAAAGCTTCTCCTTCAATTGTAATTCGATTGGTGCATATTGTATTTTATCGGAGAGTCTTGCATTTCCCTTCGTTTATATTGAGACCTTTTGCTGCTGAGGATACTGCTACACTGGTTGTCTTCTCCTGCATTTGTTGTTGCGTGTGTGATAGAAGAGCCGGATCATCTGCGAAGTCTAAGTCATCCAGTTGAATTCTAGCCGTCCATTGTATCCCGTGCTTCCTTCCAGATGTTGACGTCTTCATAATCCAGTCGATCAATAGAAGAAAGAGAAGGAGTGAGAGTAAGCAACCTTTCCTGATACCGCCGGTCTTTACTTCGAGCGAGTCAGTGAGTTATCCTCCATGAACGATTTTGCAGTTTAATCCATCATAGGAACTCCGTATGATATTGACTATAATCTCAGGTACGCCGTAGTATCGAATAAGCCTGCATAATGTTGTCCTGTTCTCATCACAGATTAACTATAATTAGAAAATCAATAAAAATTAAGGATCAATGGGAAGTTGTTTTATCTTAAAATGGGACTCTTCAGTGCAGTTCAGATCTATGATCCTGTTTGCAATAGAACTTAAGACTATCAGGTAACCTTGAGACCTTTCAGCCTTCATGTATTGATTTACCTGCTTACTTTTAGTTGGTTGAAGATTGTATCTATGCGAAGATAACACTTCAAGAATACTAAAATAATTTTTCAAGGACTTTGTATGATATCCCATTGTAATATCCCATAGTGAAATTACATCAGATTAATAATTGTTCTACTTGAAAAGTTGCTATTGACGTCCCTTCCTCTCTATATACTCATACAACTTCCATACGTAAACTCGAACAACGGAGAAAAGATGTAAAATATAAGTAAAATTCTTACTCCAGGGTTAATCTATGTACATAAAATCAAGCTTATTTAAAGGTTTTCAGGTGATCTTGATTGTCCAGAAGCTTCTGGAAATATACTAAAGACTGTAAAAAAATATGTTATGATCAATTCAAAATTTGATACATTTTCATTCATTTTTCCTGATGTTCCTGAGAAGCTTCTATTCAATTCTGATTTGATAGAATGTTTTCAATCTTTTCTGGGTTTCTAGAGCCTTTTTCGAAAGATATTTATGAACTCTTAACACAGACTGATGAAAGTTGTGTTATGTCAAAAAATGATTTGAAAATGAGAATATGGATCATTACTTTACTAGTGTCATTCTCGTCAACAAATCTGACGATTTCGGCTTTGAATTCATGTTGAGTTTCGAGGTATCTTTTGATCCATATTTTAGACTAAAAAGTGAACGACTGTTCACTATTTCTTGGTTTTCTACAATTGCTCAACTGATTTAAATTATTTTTGATCTACACGAAATCTCTAATAAAGGTTAACAGTTTTGCTGTGTATAGTTTCGAATCATTTCGCAATATTTTAATTTTCTTCGAATAATCATCCTGTTTTGTGAATTACAATGAATAACTAAGTCTTTGTCATGTCGTACAAGCAGTCTTTAACTGTTACGTTAACCTTTGAATTTCGATTTCTCCAGAAACTAACCTTATCTTAGTGAGCATTCAAATATGGAGGTTATTGCAACAGCTAGTTCTTTCTAGTTTGGAATCACTGAATAATTGTCACAACCTCAACTTAGACTGGATTACATTCAGGGCTTTCACACTTCACAGTCATCAGAGTAACCTTAGATTGCTTACTCCGAATGATATTATGATGAGGATGACTGAAATTTTTAAAAAATCTTTCAATTACAAGGAGATTTTATCCAGGGACTTCCAGATTAAGGTTTAAATGTTACATTAACTGATATAATGAATTCAACTAGTGCTGTATACTGTATATCGGAGAATGTCCACAACAGCATTTTGTCATGATAATGAGATAGTTATAAAATAACTACCCCTCAGATATATATATATATATATATATATATATATTACTGTCCAAATGTATTGCTCCTAGATTGTTCACAAAACGTATTGTACTGTGAACTCTTATTATCTTCAGACAGGCTTCTAGTATCACTGATACCTAGTAAATTCTAGTCAGGATTTGCATTTGTTAATTTTTCTCAAAATATAATGCACTCATTAACTCCATTTCTTATCAACACACTTTATTTCATTAGAAACCAAAAAAAACATCATTTTATTTCTCTATATTCTCTAATTATATTCTTTTTTCTTAAAGATGGAATTTTTGGCGCAATGATGGATGTCAGTCTTATTAACGATGGACCCGTTACTATTACACTTGATTCAAATCCAGATATTAGTCGAAACATTACAATGAATTCACAAGATGATCTAGAAACTTCGAATACACAATAACTTAAAGCCGTAGAGTTATGTTGGTTGTTTAAATTTGTAACATTTGTAAAAAGGAACATGAACGCTTTTCTCAACAGTTTCCTTTTTTTGTGACTTCTTCTAGACTTGAAGTTGAGTTCTAAGCTTTTGACGAACGCATCATATTTGAAGGCTTAGAGCTTGTGTATTAGGGGAATGAATCTTTGTTCTCTTTCTGCAAGTTAATAAGAGATATGTTAAGAGAATTATTATCAATATTTTATTCATATGTATCCGATTGTCGATGATTATGAAGTGATTGTATGATATTTAAAGTATTCATTGAATTTAAATAAATAAACAGGTTATATTCTGGAAATAATGACAGAATACGTTCTTATTTAAAGATCAGATTGATATAAAATGAAATGTAGCACGTACTAGACAAAGTGGCTATCAGGACTCAGTAGCTGAGTGGATAACGCGATGGTGTTTAAAGCGAGAGGTACTGGGTTCGAGTCCCAGAGTGTACATCAACTCTGAGATGCAGGTACATCCAGCTGACGAGTCCCGAATAGGACGAAACTCCCTAACCTGGATTCTACTACTAGTCACTATCCATCTTTACTTATAAGTTTAAGCTATCTGAAAAAAACTTGATTCATAAATTGTTTTAAAATACCATTTGTCCAAAGGATTGTATTAATCCAAAGCAAAATATCTGAACCAGTGTTTTTCTTAGTATGTGGATTGAGATGTCATTTAAGTGGAAGAATAATGTGGTGAGTGGAGATTGCAGTGCTTCTATAGGATACTTATAATCCTCTATAGTTGGAGGAAAGAATACGAAAACAGAGAAGATCAAACAATAGCAGTTAAAATTACTGTGATAAATTTCTGATAGATAATTGCCAAAAGGAAGGTTTAATAAGTATTCTCAGTAAAGATAATGATCGTATGGTTTCACTAGTAGAGTGGGATATACTCACTGGCATAAGGATTTGTAAGGTCGTATCAGAGAATAGGAAATCATCAATGTACCAAACAAATAATGGTAGTGATTTTTTCACGAATAGATTATGACAAATTACTCTAGACTCTCGTAAATTTATTTGGAAAGCAATTCATAGATAAAGTAGATTTAGAATGAGGTAGTTGTACTTTTGATAAAGAGCTACAAATATCTTAAACTGGTAATCCTGCACACAGGATCAGTGGTTAGGAAGATAGTTAAAAGTAGGTCTTAATTATCTAGTTGCATTCATTCTTTGTCCTCTCTTAAAGTTTGAATTCCAGTGTTTCTTCACACATAGTTCTTCGCTATGTCTTTTCAAATTATGTTTTTGGCAGTCAATCTTTCTCACTGTCATTGCCACTACAATTATCTTGACATTTTTTTTATTCATCTAATTGTATTTAGGTGACTTGGCAACTTGGGTTAAATTACATTTGTTTCTGTCTCTACTTTGATTATGACTGATTAAATCATTGTAGCACCTCTTGTTACACAAAAATGATGATACTTCAAATAATTTTGAATGTCAATAAAACTGATCTTGTAAACATCTAAACTATTGTAGTATAGAATAGACGTAAGATAATTGACAGACAGAGAAAATTACTGAATAAACAAATATATTTACTTTTAAATCTATAAAATTTTAAGGCTAGTAGAAATTGTCTTTCCTCAGGATAATTTTCAACTTAATTAGTTGAATAATTTTTTCTGGTTAGTGTTGTTTTAGCTAGTTGGTTTTCTACGAGGTGGAGTCGCTAACCCCATGCCAAACCCTCCTCCTTTTTAACCGGGCTTGGGACCGGTAGTAGCTCCTGGATGAGCTACAGTCGGAGTTCAGGATAATTTTCAAAATAACTAATTTATTATTTACATAATTAACATGAATTCAATATTGACAATGCTTTAATTGTGATGGATCTATTGTTAGATTACTAAAGGAAAATAACTATTTCATAAAAAACATCACGTGTTAGTCAATTGAAAAATAAGAAAAAACAGTCATTTCATTGTAAAATAGTTCCGTCGAAAAATCTACCTATAACGAAATTTAACATCAAATTTCGATTGACATAGAGACGTTGAATGGTATTTTCTATTTGTCATTGAATCACTGACATTCTGTTAATGGAATACAACTGCATTAATATATTGGTTATGACTAGTATTTGTCAGTCTACTATAGGTATTTTTTATGTACCTTGTAAAACCTGCACTAACAATATAAGCTACGATGAATAGAGGCTAGCAGTGGAATCTAGGACGTGCGTCTCATCCTATTTGGGACTCGTCAGCTGGATGTGCCTGCATCTCAGAGTTGATGTTCACTCTGGGATTCAAACCTAGTACATTCCGCTTCAAACACCATTGCGTTATCCACTCAGCTACTGGGTCCTGATAACAACTAACAATGTTGAGAAAACGTTAAGCACGTAACTTAATTAGTAACATGTATTTAACGATTTCAGACAACTTATGTTGCAGGATATTATTGATGAGTATTTTGTATACGATTAGTTTTGTTTCTAATGCAATGTAGATAATTTGACCTATCATATGAAATTTCTTCATAGGGCATGATATTCCACCAGTTTTTGTAAATATAGGCTTTCATTGGAAACACTATAAAGATCTTATCTCACCTTGAACATAACAAGAGATTCTGATACTTTAGTTTTTCTTAAAGAATCCTAATAGTCCATAACTCGATGCAGCAAACGTATCAACTTTAAATAATTTGATGGTGAAATTAACAGACCATGGAAATTACTATTTGCTGTTCAAACAGAATGTATATTGAACCTGGTTAAAACAAACAGGTTTATGATGAAAATTGAAAGTAGATAGTACAAGGTCTTCGCGAAACTATCGATAAATATTAAGTGAAGACACAATAGGTCTTAATTTATTTGGATAGTTTTTAAAAATTTCAGTGTGAATGCATGACACATGAAGTTAGTCAGTCTAACAGTAAAACAGGAACTTTCCACACCAGTTTGTTGATAATCATAGTGTATCACGAATCGAATGAAGTTCCAACTCAATAAATTCGTGTTCATCGATAGACCTGAAAATTGTACTTTTTGGACACAGGCGGGAACAAGTAATTAGTGTTCCCAAATAAAGATAAAACTACTGTTTTATTTACTTTAATAATAACCCTTCAATCATTGTCTCTTCGTGTTCACGGTTACCTTCAAAACAAAAATAAAACAATAAATAACTAAAATTACATAAATTAACCAAATAAAATTTGTGAAATATGAATTCGAAAATTCGATCTAACAAACCCTCATCACTATAATTATGTGCTCAGTAGTGATTAATACCCATAGACTACTTCTGGAGTTCAACTATTTCTAGGGCAAGATAATTATTCATCGATAGGGTTGGATACTGGTGGTATAATATCGCAAATTGACTGAAATTTATAGTATAAACCATTAGATGTCAACTGAGTAATCCGAAAGTTAAGGACTCGCCACGAGGCTCAAAGGTCCTGAGTTCAGCTCTCATAGATGCTCACAGACGGGAAGTTCCATATTTGGACGAAACTAATGTCCACTGCTTCCTGATTCTCCATATTTGTATATTACGATCAGTCTGTGATGTATCTGACATAATTCATTAGTTTCTATAAGCGCCTCAACTAATACATTATTTCTTTTCAGATTATTATTGGATTGACTTATTTGACTTCATAATTTGTACAAGACAAGGTATGTTGGAGGCCCTTTTTATGATATATAAGTGAAAGCATGCTTTATATCATACCAATTAATAATTACATGTACAATTACTCCTCAGTTTACTTTATTTGGGATTCATAACGAGAACTAGTACAAAAATAGAGAACTAAGTACCGTCAGCTGTTGAAATCGATCTCAGTTGATCGGATCTGTGTGCAGAGTTGATATAATAAATCGTACCATTGCAACAGTCAATTTTATGCCAACTTTTAAATCCGTCGCAAGTAAAATTATATAACTAAACCTCTGCTTACTGTAATTATAGGTTCTCATATTCTCTATGATAGTGTGAAAATTACTCGTTCTTTTGGATGGAAAGCTGATTAACTCTTCTTATAATACCCTAAAATAATCTCTTATTTAAATTGCATCGTCATCCCCTTATATATTATATCTCTATTCAGAATGAATTATGCTAAAAATCTTTCATTATCTCAAATATATACTATATACAATGTCCTCTTTCGATTAACCTATAACCATTTACATATCTTTGTTTGTCATCTATACACCATTCATCTATTTGTAAAAGCACAACTATTTATAAATAAACCAATAGGAAAGATTATAAAACACAGATTGGTCGATCTGTTTTGATCCCCTTAAAGGAAATATTCACTAAATCTATGTATATTAGTTAAATGTATGTATCTATCTATAAAATAAGAATAAGAAATGTTTGTTTAAATACAGTTTCAGGTCACTATTGAAAATTGATTTCTTTATTTCACCTATATATATATATATATAGTTACATATACAAATAATATAAATAGTCAAGAAAAACCGCTCTGATTAAATTTGAAAAATCAGTCCACCAAAATAATAAGTATCATTTAAACAAATTTCTTGCATTTATTTACATAATAAATTAAGAAATAAATAAACAACTTAACAATGAATTTGTATTTTAGTTCAGTTGCTAGCCAACAACCAGGACATTCATCATTATCTAAAATGAATACAAATACAAAACATACTAATCAAATGAATAATAATCCAACACATTCATGTAAACAACATGTAACATTGTCAAATGCACTAGATTTATTTACTGGAAATAATATAACAAGTGGAAGTGTAGGAGGAATTGGTAGTAATAGAAATAGTTTTAGTATTGCTGGAAATAATCATTTGAAAAAATTAGAAGAGACAACACCAGTCAATATTGTATTAAGACGTGCATCTAGTGATTCACCATGGGGTTTTCGTGTTCAAGGTGGCAGTGATTATCATTTACAACTAACAATATGTAAAGTAAGTATTATAAAATGAAAAGTATTTCCGTATATTATATAATCTGTTTTCAAATACACTGTTAATTCAAACTATTCTATCTATATCAAGTTGGATTCTGAGAAGATAAAACAGTATTTTGATTATCTTATAATAACTTGAGGGGGGAAGAAGTTTATTTTTTGGTTCATGTTTTGTATTCGGTTATTGTAAATATCTTTTTTAAAAGATGATATTTATAATTTATATCTTATTAATCCTTGTTTCGCCAATCATCGTTTTTATTTCTTCGTCGGATCCTCCATGTTCGTCGATGATGCCGTCCAGGTACGTAAAAGTTTCCACATCTCCCGGAGTTTTGCAATCAAGTGAGATTTTCTTGGTGTTCTTCGTGTTGTATTTCAGGATCCCAGTTTTTTCCCTGTGTATGTTGAGGCCTACTGATGCAGAGGCTGTTACTACACTGGTTGTCTTAAACTACATTTATTCAGGTCATCTGTGAAGTCAAAATCGTCTAGCTGAATGTAACATATCCATTGTATTCCATGCTTGTCCTCAGATATGTAGGTCTTCATAATCCAGTAAGCCACTAGAAGGAAAAGAGGGAGTAAGCAACCTTGTCTGACACCGTTCCTTACATGGAAAGTATCTTTCAGCCAACAGATACAATTAGTAAGTGACATTGATCGGAAGTGGAAACCATAACAGCAGAAGGCTAAGAAGATCAAGTTGAAGAGAAAACATAAATAGAAAGGAATTATAACTTGGAAGAAGCATACAGAATGTGAAGGACAAATGATGGAATTTCGCAAATGTGTCTTACCAAGAGATTCCGTAATTTTGTGCTAAGATTCATTAGGTTGTAGCCTTCTTTGTTCTCGTCCATTACGAAGTGACGAATCCCGTTCAGTTAATTGCTTAACAATGGTCCGTAGTGTCGCAATTTGGTCAGTATACGGCCGGACCTTACGGAATCCGGCTCGATGATCTCAAGGGTGAGCGTCTACTGAGTCTTTCATCTCGTTCAGCAACACTCTGTTGAAAACCTTACCTGGCAGTGACAGTAGTGTGATGCCTCTGTAGTTCTAACATTTGCTCAGATCTCCTTTCCCTGGCATCTTGATGAGGCGTCCTTCTTTCTAGTCGGTCGACACTTGCTCCTCCTACCAAGTCCTTCTGAATAGAACGTGATGCATCTTTGTAGTTACTTCTCTGTCCGACTTCAGTGCTTCGGCTGGTATGCTGGCAGGTTATGCTGCTTCCCTACCCTGAATTTGTCTGATGGTCACCCTGATTTATTCGATCGTTGGTGGAGTGACATCTATTGGAAGGTCTATATGTGCTGCTTCGATGGAGCTGCCTTATTCAAGAGTTTCCCGAAATGTTATTCCCATCTGTTCCTCTGTCTGTGAATCTCAGTGACTGGCTCGCTTGATTTCTTCTTGACCCGTCTCTCAGGTTTTCTGTATTTCCCTGACTGTTTCTTCATCGTGTCATATAGTTGTTTCATACTTTTTTCTCTTGCAGCTTTTTCCGCTCTCCTTGCTAGGTCTTCCACGTATTTCTGTTTGTCAGCTCTAATGCTCCTCTACACTCTCTTGTTTGTTTCTGTGTTTTCAGCCTGTGCCTTGACTTTTACTGCTCTTGTTTAGCTGTTGTCAGTTGCTGTCTTTTCGGTCTTCTTTTGTTGAAAGTTGTTCAGGGTTTCGATAGAGATCCACTCCTTATGATGATGCTTGTTGCGGCCCAGCACCTTTTGATACGTTGAAGTTACTGCTTATTTGGTTACTTTCCAGTTGTCCTCCATAGTGGTTTCTCCTTCTTTGAGTAGATCTTGTAGGTCTTGGAACCTGTTGTTGAGAGTTATCTTGAATTGGTTGTGTTTGCTAGTATGTCGAAGGAAGGCTGTATCAATCCTCTTAGACCTCTAGTTTAAATGATGTTTACAGTATAGTTTATTGTAGTTCCTAATTATTGAACCTTATTTTTACATATTTTATGTTGAATTTTACAAGGTTAATTTGATTATTATTAAATGAGACATTAATGATATTAACGTCTTGTTTAACCAACTATATTAATACTGACCAACTTATTAAAATGTTACTCATAAATACGTAATAAATTAGAAAAATTTTCGAAACCTCACTAGTTTTTTTCGTGTAGATAATAGCTAACTTATTTGAAACGTCGAATGTTTGTTAATTTCCAGTGTTTTCTGGTTTTCTACGGTTTCCTGACTAGGCCTAATTGAAGATGAATATTATGAAACCAATTCGTTTTCACAATCTCTTTCCACTAATAATCAATATGTTTTATTCAACTGCGTGGTTTTCGTTAGTGGGATATATATATTGGAGTAAAGCATGTTCCTTGCAGGCTTGTGTCGGGGCACGCTGATTGACTATTTTTTAACCAATCAACGCTAGTGGATACTTAGGGGAAACTCTAGAATCCTGTGTAAAAATTATAAATATACTAGCGTTTTTCTTATCGGAATTCCTACTTCCATCCATTTTTCTTATTTAGAATATAATCATGTTCCTGTTTAACCGTGTTCTGATTTGGAGACTTATCGAGTGTATTAGTGTTCAATAATACTAAACAATAATGGTAGTTGGGTGGCAATAAGAGAAATCATAACAGTTTTTTGTAGATTCACTTAATCTGACGATAAATTTAGTCATGACCTAACATCAAATTATATAAGTCTGAAAGCCAGGCCACTTTTGTCTGTGGCATCATATATGATTAAACTCAAGGATTTTTATGCCACTCATTGAGTAATAATCCAGCATTCAATATTTGCATCTTCTATTCCATTCAGGGTTCATAGTTAAACCAATGGAAAACTAACTAAAAACTATTTTTCAAAGTAGAAATCATGAGTCAATTGAAGCTAGACCACCATGGAAAACCTGGAAACACTGGACGGCCGTTTCGTCCTACTATGGGACTCCTCAGCAGTGCGCATCCACAAACCCACTCTCGCGGGATTCGAACCCAGGACATACCAGTTTCGAGCCGAAGCCCTTAACCGATAGACCATTCAGCCGTCAACCAGCGGTGTTAATGTCTAACTTCAACTGATCCACGAAGTTGAGCAACCATTCACCAATTGTCTTCAGTGAGTTCCTATCTCACAACGAACGTTGGATGCCAGCTCAGTGGTCTATCGGTTAAGGGCTTCAGCTCGAAACTGGTAGGTCGTGGGTTTGTGGATGCGCACTGCTGAGGAGTCCCATAATAGGACGAAACGGCCGTCCAGTGCTTCCAGGTTTTCCATGGTGGTCTAGCTTCAATTGACTCATGATTTCAACTTTGAAAAATACTGAAATCTCCACAAATCCCCTTCTAATAACTATTTCCATATTGCTGCAGAGAATAAAGTACTCAAAATTATTTGATATTTAAATAGTTCCCTTTTCTATTTAAGATTAGTTGATTCATATTAGTATTTAGTCAAATATGATAAAATTTAAGTTAATGTCAGTTCAGTAGAAAACTATAATGTTGAGTAATAGGGTGGGGGAGGGGTAAAAAGAAGCTGAATAAAATTCACGTTTCATCATAAAATTTATAGGTTAATGAATTTTAATCATCTTAATACAAATGGGCGACACAGTTCCACTTTATTATGTGATCTACAAACTATAGTTACATTTTCATATATTTTTATTTAAACAGAAAATTTATTTTATTATCCCAACTTATCAGTAGCACAGCAAAAAAAAAACGAAATGATATGAACCATAAAACTTGTAGTGTTCTTTTTAAAGAAATAAATTATATATCCCTTTTTGAAGACATTGGGTAATATATTATCATTGATTAGAATGTACTGACTTTGTATGTTTATAAATGAGAAGTCTAGTTGCAATTGCTGGAGAAGATATGTGGTGATTTTTTTTTAATTTAATAGTTTACATCATGGACTGATCTTAATTATATAAACATTGAGATCCAGAAAGCATGTGACATCCATTTCATTTGTTATGAGGAAGCCCCGGTGATTCTTAATCACCAGGGGCTGTTTTTAAGGGTTAATTTCCGGTAATATGGTTAGAAACCTTAACTAGTGTGGAATTACCTATCGGTGAAATTAGATGATCGTTGTGTGATATGGTGAGCTAAATGAAGTTAAACTTATAAATCAATGTCTGAAGGTTAAGTGCTTGTTATGAAAGTTGAAGACCCTGTGCTCGACTCCCGAAAGGTTTGTGGATGCGCAATGCTTCAGAGTTCCATAAAAGTATAAAATAACTGTTCAATACTTTCTAGTTTTTAATAGTTATTTAACATAAGTGAACATTTTAGACTGTATAATACTAAAAGTGAAAATCGTCACTTCTTTCATGTACAGTTGAGCAAAGTTCGAGTATATGAGTAATTATAATTATAATAAGATTAAACATGTTAAAACGAATTAATAATATGATGAATGAATAGATGTTCATTAAGTCTAAAATAGTATCACAATTAGGATATAAGATTATTAGATTCAAAATAATGAATGTACTTGAATGTGACGACAAAGAATTTCTCAGAATGATATTTATAACGTTAGGAGATACAGTCTTACGCTATCCGGCGGCCAACAATATGTTCATACGCCATTTGTTCCCTCAGGATTCTGAAGTCTATCTATGTGCACCATTAGTTTGGAATCAAAGTTTCCAACCCTCTCAAGTGAACCCTCTATATCCATTGACCCTGTTAAAGCACCGAACATTCGCTTTTCGTCCTCAGAATTTCGTAAACAACACCCCTGTTGTTAGAAGGCATTGAGTAGGACTTCCCTGACAATGGCTGTATACGCGTGTCCATGTGAGAGTATTTCGAAAGGGAGAGTGGACTCTTCTCACTTTCGAACGTACCAGGTTGTTTGGGGGCACAAGGTGACATTCCCGGAGTGAATAAAATAAATTCTAGTTTGCAAGTTTAGTATTTCCTAGGATCTTACTTCAAAATAAGCTGTTAAAGTTCACACAGATTTCTGTTATTTAAAATCACATTTAGTT